AAATTCCTCAGAATGCTCAAAATAGAAATACCATTTGACCCAGGAATTCCACTTCTAGGAATTTACCCTAAGAATGCAGCACTCCAGTTTGAAAAAGACAGATGCACCCCTATGTTTATCGCTGCACTATTTACAATAGCCAAGATAAATGTCCATCAGTAGATGAATGGATAAAGAAGATATGGTACATATACACAATGGAATATTACTCAGCTATAAGAAAAAAACAGATCCTACCATTCACAACAACATGGATGGAGCTAGAGGGTATTATGCTCTGTGAATTAAGCCAGGCAGAGAAAGACAAGTACCAAATGATTTCACTCATATGTGGAGTATAAGAACAAAGGAAAACTGAAGGAACAAAACCGCAGCAGAATCACAGAACCCAAGAATGGACTAACAGTTACCAAAGGGAAAGGGACTGGGGATGATGGGTGGGAAGGGAGGGACAAGGGCAGGGAAAAAGAAAGAGGGCATTATGATTAGCATGTATAGTGAGTTGGGGGCACGAGGAGGGCTGTGCAACACAGAGAAGACAAGTAGTGATTTACAGCATCTTACTATGCAGATGGACAGTGACTGTGAAGGGGTATGTGGGGGGGGGATGTGGTGAAGAGGGGAGCCTGGTAAACATAATGTTCTTCATGTAATTGTAGATTAATGATACCAAAATTAAAAAAAAAAGCACTTGCCAAAACCCTGGTCAGCCTGGCCACTTCCTTTACCAGATTAGTTACCATTCACACTTAAATGTGGATTTGCTTTTCAGCTGGGCTCTCCCCACCAGCCCAAGCTGTGAGCTTTTTTACTTTGAGAGGAGATCGCATAGGAGGTAAGCCTGCCAGCCTCTGGGCAGGGTGCTGAAGGGAGACAGAGTGTGGGGCGTGCAGGCCCTCCCACAGGATCTGTAGGGCAGTGAGTATGGATATCTGGTGCTGCCGCCTGCAGCTAGTACAGAGGCCTTTGGAGGAGGGAAATGGTTTCTTCAAAAGATGGGCAGTAGTTTTTGCCTTATTGTGTGTGTGGGGAAAATAGGGCCAGAGAGGTGTGGGTCTACTGAGCCAGAGTGGCGGGGAGCTCTGACTCCAACTTGGCACTTGTGCAGCCGTTCTGCTTGTCCTTTCCCTTCAAGGGTGACAGAAGACACTAGGAGTAGAAAGAAAAGAAAAACATATCTTTTAATAGATTATTTATATGTATGTGATATACATATATTAGTATTCTCTACAATTTTAATATTCTTAAGAGGGCCAGGTACTCAGGGGCTACAGGGAGTAGAAAAAGCTAACTGTCCCCGAATTTACAAAGGGCTGTTGTGCTGTTATTTCAAAGAACATTGTGTGTCCTTTGCACGGCACCTCCAAGGCTGGTTAGAAGAGTCAGGTTTCAGTCTAACTGCTGAGGCGGTGTCTGAGTTCCTTCCTCTCCTTTCTGCTCTGTACTGGCCCTTCTGGGGACACAGAGGCAGTATCAGGGATGCAACATTGATGTTCCTGGTGAACAAGGGTGCAGGATCATGGAGGCCCAAGGGAAGGGGTCCTTTCCCCCCAGCTTTACATTCCAGAAGGATCCCTGGAGCATTTTATCTGAGTTGGTCATGAAAGATTGTAAAATTTGTTCTTTGCTATCTAATTTGGGAAATTGTTTTTAAAGTGCAAGGAGAAAGTATTCTAACTAACCAGAAACTAGAAATAACAATTTCCACCATTTTAATGTAATCATTACAGTCTTGTTTTTTTCTAGGTAGAGTATATATTTTAGTTTCTTGTACTGAGTAGCTGAGAAATCAGGGGCTCTGAGAGGCTGTTAGCTGTTCGTCATGGCAGAAGAAGTTCATGGCATGACTGGAACACAAGGCCTGACACGTCCTCTGCCCAAGTTTGACTTTTCCTCACTTGCCATTTATTATGAACTGGCCTAAGCCAGGCACTGACTGTTATTGTTTCTCCCTTCATTTGGTTAAAATACTGCTCTCTGGCAGTTGAAATTGGGAGCTATACACCTCCATCCCAAGAACTTTGCTACTGGGGGTACATTTCCATGAAAATAAGTCCTCAACCAAATTCTGCCCCATGGTCTATCAGTGGTCAGGCTCCCCAAAGGCCACATGCTTTCTTCTCCAGTTTGAGGAGTTCCTGCTGTCTGTCCTCAGGTACAACCACCAGCAGCTGGAATGAAAAGTCATCCTAAGGTACACACAACACTCTTCTGAAGGCAAAACCAACAGCCGAGCTGGGGTGCCAGAGCTTTAGACCTGGAATGTTTGTTGTTTGCCATATAACTTTACGTACAGTCATTAAGGTACCAACCTTAAGTTTAATCTCCATAAACTGTTGCATGTGTACCCATCCATGTGCCCCAGAACATTTCCAGTGCCCCAGATAGTTCCTGTGTTCCTTTCTAGCCAGTATCGCCCCTCTCCAAGAATAACCACTGTCCAGACTTCTGTGGCCATAGATCAGTGTTGCCTGTTCTTGCACTTCATATAGATGGAATAATACAGTATGTGTTCTTTTGTGTCTGCCTTCTTTTGTTCAACATTATGCCTCTGAACTCCATCCCTGTTTTGCATGTAGCTTTAGTTTGTTTTGCGTAGTACTCTATTGTACAAATAGACAGTAGTGTGTTTATCCACTGCCCTGCTGGTAGGCACTGGGTTGTTCCCGTTTGGGGACTGTTGTAGATAACTTTGCTATGAACATTCTCGTGCATGTCATGTGGAAGACACGCATGCTCCTTTCTCCCAGTGTATCTCCAGGAGTGGAATTACTAGGTCATGGGACAGGTATGTGTTTAGCTTTAATAGATTCTACTAGGCAGTTTCCTATCGGTTAACAGTCTGCACCCCCACAGCAGTGGATGAACTCAGTCCAGTTGCTCCACAGCCTCACCAGCACTTGTATTGTCAGCCCACGGCATTTGCTCCAGACCTGCTTGTTGACAGCTTCCGCTGAGCTGCTCTCTTCCTTTACAACACTACCTTGGTCCTGAGGGAGAGTCATGAACTGCCAAGGTGTTTTTCCACTGGGGAACCCAGCAGTGAGGGGATGGGTGAGGTGGGAGAGCTGAGCCCATCCTGGCTGGCAGCCCAGCCTCCTCCAAGCAGCCACTTCCATACCACAGTGCCATGCAGATGCCTGCACTGGTTCTTTGGGGAATAAGGTGCTGCTTAGTTCAGAGTAATGAAACCTCCCTTGTCCCCCTGCTCCTCATCCATGGCCACTGGGCTCTGGAAGACAGCCTCCCTCAGGGGCCTCTCATACAGATCCATGCTGCCAACATGCCAGTCCTCAGGCATTCTGGGTATAAGCAGGGCAGAAGGCACCCCTTGCACATTGTGTCCAAGTCCTTCCTGACCACTGGCTGATACCTGAGATTCCATTAGTGCCTCATGCCTTTACCTCTCAAGGCCATGATCCTTGGGGACATGCCTGTAACCCTAGCTTCCTTTGAGTTACTGATATCCCATAGTGAATAAAAAATGTTCAAGAAGGTTTTGCTGAGACAGTGGAGCAAAGGACATGGGGTTCTTGAGGAGAGGATAAAAAAGGGGATGAAAAGGGCCTATTTGCTGTTGGCTGACCTTGGTGACACAGATGGACATTTCAGTCATCAAGGATGAAGTCTCAGAAGACATTGACGTGATTTCAAAGGAATTGCTCAGCTCACCAGTGGGGTGAAGGTCAGATAAGAAGGCAGGGTCAGGGAAAGAGACCTGAGGGAACCCTGTTTGGAAACAAAGCTCTGGAAACAAAAGATTGCAGAGCTAGAATTGACTTGGGCAACTGTTTAAAGCCAGCCCTGTCCTTAGGCGCAAGGGCCCAAGCTGTGAGATGAGGACACAGGATTCCCTGGGCTGGCCAGTGAGACTTGCAACTCCACTTGTGATTCTGGGCACACCCACACCCAGAGGTTTGGGGCCCAGCCAGGCCAGTCCTCTCCTCCAGCCCCTGTCCCTCCCTCGCAACTTCCCTGTCTCCCTCCAGATTTCACCATTTTAAATTTCATCTGGTTCCCAGCCTCCCTTTCCAGAGGCAACCAATTTTACCAGTGTCATGTATAACTTCCCAGAAATACTTCTCATGCCAGTGTGTATGTGTGTGGCTCTCCGTTTTTACACAAATGGCAGCATACTGTTCACACTGGTCTAGGCCTCATTTTAAAAAATTGTTTTTATTAAATATTGAGTAGATATGAAATAGTAATTATTCAGTATATATGTTTTTTTTTAACTACAGTATAGTAAGCCGCCTAGTACCAACCACTTGTTCTACACAAGGAAGCAGAACTTTTAAACTCTGTGTAGCCTTTCCCAACCCCACCTAAGTGTTATTCTGAATGTTATAGCTACTCTGCCCTTTCTTTCTTTATTGTCCTGCCATGTGTTTATATTACCATACAATAAATTCCGGACAGTGTTTTACTTATTTGGACTTTGAAGGGAAGGAGCATATTGCATACAGTCTTCTCCAACTTGCTTTTATCCCACCCGTGATTGTGCCCCTGAGATTTAGTCATGATGACATGCATGGCTGGGGTTGGTTCATTTGCATTCTGGTGTAGAATTCCATTCTGTGAAGATGCACCATCAATTTTTCATTGTACTATTTAAGGACATTTGGGTTGCTTCCACTCTTTGCTTCTAGGAACAACAGTGATGTGAATGTTCTTAATCATTTCTCCTGGTGTGTATGATTTAGGACCAGGTACAGGTGGGACTGGGGTAAGCATTTCCCTAGAGCATTTGCAGGGCCCTAGGGAATGCACATTGTCAACTTCAGAGAATGGGAACTGCATTCCAGAGTGGTTGTGTCAGTTCACACATTTGCCAGCATGTTTGAAAATTGCCTTTGCTCTACTTCCTTGTCAACACTTAGAATTACCAGTTTTTAAAATTTTCCAAAATGATATGAGTGAAATAGTAACACATGGTGGTTTTTTCATTTCCCTCATTATGCCCACTGCATTTTTTACTTAAAATAAATTCTTGAGATTGTTCCATTTCAGAGCAATGAGGACTTCCTCCTCATTTCTTGGGCTGGAGAGTGTTCTATCAAATGAAAATCTGACTAATTAAACTAGTTCCTTATTGATAGACACTGAGTTGGCTCCAGTCTTTTACAGTCAGTTCTGTAGTGAATAACTTTGTATATAAATGGTAAAGTGGGGGAGTCTATATATAGATTTCTTACACAGCAACCTGTTGTACGTTTAAAGTGGAAGATAGTTTTTGCTTCCCTCTGGCCCTGTGCTTCCAGGAAGTTCCCTCACTTCCTTGAGTTCCCTAAGGTGGGAACTGTATCTGCCCTCTCTCATTTTAACCACATCATCTTTTCTCAGATGGTGATGTTCATGTTCCCTCTGAACCAACCCAGAACCAACCTGTTGGCCTCTACACTGCCATTCCCACCTCCACAGAGATTCCTCAGGGATGGCCTCTACCCTGGCAATTCCTTCTTATGATTATCCCTGTCCCAAGAATTAGTACTTCCTGAGACGCTGGACTTTGCCATCCCTGAAGAAGAGGGGAAAAAAATTGACCACCACCCTTAGAGAATGTACAGTCTCAAAGGGGGCAGGGCAACATTTCCACAAAACAACCAGGAAGACGAGAAATCCACACTTCCCTGAGCCTCACTTCTTTATACAATGGGGACAGTAACCTTTTTCTGGGGCTTGGAGTGGAGTAGGGCTGATATTTATAAAACACCTCACACTTCTGCACTTGTAAACACCGTAGTTTTCTTGCTATTGAGGATATGTCTAATTCGAGGATGCTGTGGTGTGCTATGAGAGACAAAAATTAAGGGTCTGAAAGCACCTGCCGAGAGGGGAAGGCAGCCCAAATTGGAGGAAGAGTGTCTGGTGTTAAGGGGGCTTCTGAACTTATGCAGGTCTAGACCATTCTACAGGGAAGAGCAGTGACCTCTGGTCATTTCCCATGAGCAGGAACATCTGTTGGTAAGGCTCTGGAAAAGGAACTGATGGCCATGCTCAGCACCATTCATTATATTCTCCCCAAAACTGTCTTCTGGGTACTTCTCTGGGGAGGGGACCAGCAGAATTCCAAACCTCTGTGCCCAGCAGGTAGGTGGGCACTCACCACAGGCATGCTGCGTACACTTGTCCAGGGAGTTAACCGATTG